CAGCTGGATCTCTCCAGAGCTGAATACTCACACGGGAAAGATCAGTAAGAAGAGAACAAATATGAGAAACATAGAGTTGGAAGATGGAATAAGAAATTCTTTTTTATGCAAAAAGGTTAAAAGCAGAAATTGCAATTAAAAAAAAAATATTATTTTTTTAATAGTTTCTGTTACATTTGTGTTAAGTTTAGAAAGAACAAATGCTGTGTTACTCTTTATGTGGTGAGTGACAAACACCAAAAGGACAAAGGACCAAAAACTCTTCGAGTAGAGTTGCACCTCATTTACTGTAGGAATTCAACTGAGTTTCATTTGGAGATGTGCTCTAATGTTGCAGAGTCTGTTAGAAATTAAGAAGCCAGCAGAAATTGATGACTGCATTAACTCTGCTGTTCTCTGCTCTGAGAACAGTTGTGGAGTGCCTGATAGGAAAGAAATAGCAGTGTGATGGCAGAAGTGAGGGACGTTATCTGTCCGCAGCCTGGCGGCTCACAGCAGGCTCCAGGAAACGCGCTCACAGCTGCACTGCGACTGCACCCCGTGCTTCAGATCCAGAGCACAGTAAGGGCTGCCTGTACCGCGGCCAAACCAGTGCCCCAGTAACTCTGGCAGTGCCAACCAGGGAATGTTTTGCCAGAAAGACACTTAAAAAAAGGGAAGAAGAACATCACTCCATCACCCGACCCCTTTCCAGCACCAGCTAGCTGCCAAGGTCACAGAACGTCCTGGTGCTGGGGGTGCCTCAACAAGGTCCTGGCAGTAACGTCACCGACGGACGATGGGAAGGGTTCTTCAAACACAGCTTCCTCCCCGGCGATACACAGCAGCACAGTGAGTGCTGTCCTGCTGCATCGGGGCGCGGCCAGACTCAGTAAGACACGGACATGTGGCACAATGGGCGAATTGTGGATCAGTTACAGATATCGAATGCCAGGGGGTTACTGACAGCTTTTCTGCAGTGCTGTAGCCTGAATGCTCGTCGTGGTTACTGGGCAGACATCCCAAAAGGTGCAGTAGGACAATGAACGGCAATAACTGCGTCATCGCGGGCACTTCGGGCCAGGGAAAGAGACGGAGCAGACCGTGTTGTGTGTCACGTGAAGCTGTGGGAGCTGAAGGTGTTCATACAGGGTCACAGAGAATCCAAGCGAGAGGGACCGGTACGTGATCGGGAACCAACTGGGCAGGCACGTGGTGCCGGTGAGAAGGAGCGGAGGAAGGCCGCGCTGTGCCGCCTCTGCCGAGCCGAGCCGTGCCGAGTCAAGCCGAGCCGTGCCGAGTCAAGCCGAGCCGTGCCGAGTCGAGCCGTGCCGAGTCGAGTCGAGCCGAGCCGTGCCGAGCCGTGTCGTGCGGGCCGAGCCGGGCCACGCGTTCAGCACCGAGCCCCGGATAGCGGCGGGCGGTGCCGCTGCGTTTTGGTGGTGGGAAGAATTGATCCCAGCGACAAACTGCTGGAACCCACTCGGGACAGCCGTGAGTCGCTGGTGGCTTGCAGACACCGCACGGCCTGGTGCTCGGCGAGGGGCAGCCCTGCCGTAGCCTGCAGGGATTTTCACCTGCAGGAGGTGGCTGCCCGGGCGAATGGGGTCCAAAGCAACATCACAGCCACCACGTGTGGCAGCTGCACCAGTCGCCATACAAACTCCAGATGTAACACCTGCATCCCTGCACGTTGCACCCCCAGCCAGTCCTGGCCCACGGGCTCTGCAGTGCACGCAGTCCTGGTGCACACAGCCCCGAGCGGGCACTGCACCCTGTGCCACCCCAGGGTCAGACGTGGCACATCCTTGCTGAACCATTAACAGCCCCAGTGTCTGTCAGCTGCAATTCGAGTGCTAAAACTCTGCAGCTGTGCAGAGTCACAACCTAATGCTTTAAATACAGATTGCGGCCCAAGTGTGGGAATGTTAAGGCAGAGATCTTGCCTCACCCAGAGGCAGAATCGATTCAACTCCCGGGGCTAGGCCTCAGAAGTGCTGGGACATGTTTCAGCCCTGCCCGTGCCCAGAAGCTGCGTGCCTTTGAAGAGTCACTGCTCACCTGGGAGGTGAAAACCAAACAGCTGCAAATGGCACTTTGAGATACGGGGATCTGAGCGCAGGCACTGAGGTACACCTTGATGTGCTGACATCGGAGATGCACTGTGGGGAGGTACTGCATGTCCACTTCAACACCCTCTGCACCCTTAACAGCAATGGTAGCCTCAGCACCAATGTAACCTCTTGCAAGTAAAATGTGAAGAATATTTCTGTATCTGCACCTTCCTCTTCACTTCTATTAAGGGAGTCAGAATGTTTTCCTCTGTTTCATCGCACTTTTCATAGTTAATGATGCAATTGTTCTCTACTTCCTCAGTTGGAAATATTTATGAATTACACCAGTGTGCCTTGGTGAGGGCAGTGTGTGTGCAGTGAGGTGCTGCATCTGAGGAGTGCACAGTGTTCTCAGGAACCATGGGGATGCCTTGCTGAGGGACATGGTTCAGTGGATGTGGTGGGGATGGGTTGGGATTGATTATCCTTTTCTGACCTTAATGGTTCTACAGCTCAAAGTCCCTGCGATTGATGGGGTCTGTCAGGACCTCATGGGCACTAGGAGCCCTGCTGTCCCACACCCTGCCCTTGGCCCTGGACCAGAGGATGGAGGGCTCAGCCCCACCTTTGCTGCACTGTGCCAGGAGCTGGGGCTCCCTGGCCAGGTGCTGGAATGGCCCCCGGGCCTCGGCTGTGCCCTACCACCCCCCAGGGAGCCCTCAGCCCTCCTGGTGCCCTCATGGTAGTTACTGCATTTGTACTTAACTAGCCATGGTGTTGAAGATTGGTAGGAAAAAACCTTCTTAAATTAGTGTGCAGTTGTTTGTTTGTTTTTGTTCCCTTGTAGAGCTCCTTGCAACTCAAAAAGTCTTCCCACAAACCTGGCCATATTATGGACCTAGGTATGCGTTTAAATCCACAAAATATTTTAAGAAGGTTTATGAAATTTGGATTTTGAGGCTTCTTTCCTTGGAGTCCAAGCTCATATAGTGTAAAGCAATACAAATGAAGCGATACAAGTAAAAATGCTAAGAAACTGGCACTCATGTTTGGAAAGCTTATTGCATGCTCCATAACCTTGGTAGCAGAGCTGCTCAGCCACACGACTCACCTGCACTGATTTCAAACACTGCAGCTCTCGTGCTTCTTACAGACCTACTCTGGGCAGTGATCGCAGCAGCAGACACTACGGATCTCTCATTTATGCACCAAATATCCCATCATGGAAACCAATCCATTTCTTTGGTGAGATGTAATTGGAGCCGTACTCTGCTTCAGACAAACTGCAGAAAAATCTCAAATGAGCTAAAAGCAAAGGATGCGTACCGGGCGCAGTGCTCTGAAAGCTGCACGGTGCAGTTTGATGCCTTTTCGTTAGAGATCTGCAACGCATGGCCTGAAGTGGGGTCAGATCCCTGCACATCAGATGAGGGGGTTTCCAGCCCTGTGCCTGTGGTTCCAGCAGCACAAAGCGTTCAGGGAGCAGCCGCCCGTGGGGCTGCCTTGTTTCCGAGCGTGAACTAAGGTAGCAGTGACCACTGAGTCAGTTTTGGTTAAGCCATGTTTTGCGCAGTCTAGAAATTACGAAGTGCGCCATTTAAAACTACCGAGATCAATCGGAGAACACAGCCTGTCCCTCGGGGCTATAAAGGAGCTTTCAGGCAGCAAAACATTACGTTACATTTAAGGATTTTAATCCGACGTAGGGGTTTTGTTTTCCGTTTTTGTTTTGTTTCTCCTGCCATTACTAAAAGCTCTTCATGAGGATCTTTCTAATAAAAGAAAAGCCTATTAGCAGAGCCATAACGGCAGCGATGTGCGAGCTGTGCTCACAGAGGAGCTGCGTGCCGGGCGCGGAGCCCTTCCTCTCCTGTCGCACAGCCGGGCGCTGCTGGGGCTGAGGGAGCGGCTCTGCCCGCTGCTTTGGGGCCGCCAGCAGTGCGGCAGCGTGCTTTTTAGCGTGCTTTTTAGCGCAGCATCTGCTTTAAAAAACAAACCGTCTGCGCTGCTTTCGGTGAATTATTTTATTCAGGTCTGAGATGCGCTGTTTAGCGCGTCGTTTAGTCCTTGTCTTTTGATTTTCAAGGATGTTGCTGTTAATATCCTGCATACCGCTTTGAGGGGAGAACTTAGCAAAGTTTAAGGAGCCCGCGATTATGAACTAAATTAAGAACTAAATTAAGCACGCTGTTCCGACCGCCGCTTCCCCAGCGCTGGAGCTGCCGGAGCGGGCTGCGCGCACCGCGCTCCCATTGCTAACGGGACGCGACGTGCAGCTGATGAGAGCCGCGCGCTGTCCCGCACGGCTCCGCGCTGCACCCATTCCTCACTTCTCCATCTGGGGCAGTTACGGAACAGTTCCTCGCTCAGAGGACCTTTCTGTGAGGGTCGCAGCGCCGAGCCGCCCGCGCCCCGTTCCGCCCGCGGGGTCCCGCGGTGTTGCTACGGGCTCCGCGGCCGCGGTAACGCGCTCGGGGCGCGGCCGTTCGTCACAGCCACGAGCCCGGCAGCCGGGCAGAGCCGCGCCCCGCACAGGTGAGCGTCGGTCGGGCCCGGCGGGGCGGTCTCCCGGGGCCGCCGTTGCCCTTTTAAGAGCCACGCGGGGCCGCCGTGACGTCGCGGGCGCGCGGCCCCGGCCCCGCCTTCCCTCCCCCCTCCGTCCGCCGGCAGAGCCGGGAGCGGCAGCCGCGCTCGGCGCCCGTCCCAGCCCGGCTCGGCCCGTCCCGCCGCGGCCGCCCCGCCCTCCCGCCCCGCCCCGCCGACCTGCCATGCGCCGCGGCCCGGCGCCAGCCTCCGCCGGCGGGAGCCGTCCCGGCAGCAGCGCGGCGGCGGCGGCGGCGGGTGA